AGTAATATTCTTGGTTAAGAATCAAGTGACAGTAAAATACCAACAGCAAAAGTTTTAAATACAGTTCCTTTGACCAGTCTCTGTGTATAGAAGAAGCTTGTGTTTCATTTTTTATATCATCTTATTTTTTGAAAAATGTTTGAATGAGGAATACTTTCGCGTGACAAATGTATGATAGGAAATGGTGTGCAGGGGAAAGTTTTGGGTTCCCCTTTACCCCTATCAACCCTGTTTTCCTCTGTCCCCAGCAGGGGACATATTCTTCATTACGAGTATCCTTCCAGAATTCCTGTGTGCACAGTCAAGTAAATGCAAATATACATTGTTGTTTCCCCCTTGTTCTCACACTATCGATCGCTCTGTATTTTGCTATTTTTACTTAATGATAGATCTTGGAGATCTTTCTCAGCACACCCCTAGCTTTGCTATGCTTTCTGACATCTGTACGGTATTTTATAGAATGGGTGTCTAGTGATTTATTTAACCAGTTTCTTATTGATGGGAAGTTGCATTATTTTCAGTTTTTTACTACTACGAAAATGCTTTTGATAAATAATCTGTACACATGTTGCTTCAGACAGGTTTCTTGGTTATATCCAGAGACGTAAATCAAAACCAAGCTCTAAAAGAATCACCCTTAATTCTGGCAAACTTCTAAGTCAGAGGGGTCTCCCGGGTTAATTTTAATGCCCTAATGTTATTAATTTACTTCTTTACTATCCATCTCACTTAGCCAAGAAAAGTGGCTTTCATTTATAAATAAAGGCAAGTTACCTAAATATTTGGAAACAAAGGATGCCATGTGTATTTCCATAGTGTTACCTAGGGCCTCTATGGAAATGTGGCTTTTCAATGAGAGTGACAGAGGTAAGGACGATAGCATTGAGTCATGTAAATAACATAGCGAAACCTTGGAAAGCCTTTGGTCTTCTCATCTTGACCTCCACTTCGAAGCAGGATTTGTCAGGATTTCTGAGGATTTGTCTTCCAAATCGATTCTCACACACATCCCTCCCTTCGTATTCCATTTCCTATCAGCTACATTTTCTGAAACGACTGCCCCATCATTAATGCTGTAGGGGAGGAAAAGTTTTGTTTTTCCTCTACTCAGTGTAGGGTCATTGTCTGGGGCCCTGTAAACTAGACTGAGAAAAGACTAATCAGCAAGAAAAGAACAAACAGAAATGCATTGACCACACCGAGCACACGGGAGTCCTCAGTGAGGAGTACTGAAGGGGCGGTAAGAATGTGAGCCCATATGGCCTCTTAACAAAAGAAGACGACGTTTGTAGAAAATAACAAAAGTAAGGAAAAGAACATTGAGCTTCTAGGGGGGCACATTGCAGGGAGTCAAGTTCATGGAGAAACTTAGTGAAGGTGTATAGTTTGCTCTGGGACTGGGTTGGATGAGAGTCTAGACTTCATATACATATTTGTATAACCATCTCCTTCCTGGTAGAGAAGGGAAGAGAACCCGATTCTGGGCCAACAGGGGGAGGGAGGAGAGCTTTCCTTGTATTTGTTTCTTCTCATTATCTTCAACTCAAAATAATTCTTATGCTAATAAGTGGCATATTTTGAGGTCACAGATTCTGCTCCCTTTCTTTACCATTCTATCTATTCTATGTGTATTCTGTACCTGAATAAGACCTTCTGTGCCACTTAAAAGGTCTCTTTTGTTACACAGGGTGGCCATACAGTTCATGTGCAACTTAAAGTAATGTGCGATTTAAAATTGCACAGGAAGGTCATGGCCACGCTGTATTACGTAACACCTTTATCTTCTTTGTTGTTGTTGCTACAGTGTTTTCTCAAGAACTTCTTTGGGTTATTATTTTCATGGTTTAGTCTCGCCCTAAGCTTTCAGTGAAAAATTTAAAGCACAGGCAAGATTTGGGGTGTTTATGGTTGTTTGTTTTTGCTTTTTGGTTAAAAGAAAACTTTTTAAAATCACACATTGCCTAAATGTGAATTAAATTAACATTTATAACTAATGCGTTTATATAGATCGATAACTTTATAAGAGGCCAGTTTTTTCACCTCCACCCACACCAGGTGGCCTCAAACTACAGCCCGTGGGCCACATGCAGACCGCCTAGAGCATTTATCAGGCTTGCTGGGTGTTTTTGCCACCGCTCCCTGTCCTGCTTAGCAGCTGACTCGTCCCAGGTCCCGCAGTCCAGCCTACAGAGGTCTGAGGGACAGTGAAGTGGCCCCTGTTTTAAAAGTTTGAGGATCCCTGACCCACACAATCTGGTCTCTGCATAGTCCTCTCACGGACACTAATGGCTTGTAGGAGAGTTCCTTTATCAATGCTTCTCAGCTACTCCACCTTCCAGGGCATGTTCTCCACTACTCATGGAGTCCCTGGACTTTCTGAAGCATGTGTAGTTCATACCTCCAGTATTACTTTGAAAAGTCTGAATGTGGAGGCCTTACATTTTTTTCCTCAATAATCCTATTTACTTAATTGATTGATCTATGGCCATCTTTTCTCCTCTTTTCCTGCCTTCCTTCTCTCTCAGTAGTACCTTAACTCTTACCCTCTGAGTTCTCTCTGTAATTTCTTCCTCAACTTCCCTCGTCTGCTTTCCAGAATTCTGAAAGCAAAGCTCTCCAAAATACAAATGACCAACTAGCACAATGGGGATGTTTTTTCAAATTATAGTCAGGGGTAAGTTGACATTACTATAATCCTCCTTTTAAAAAATATATATTAAGACTTGGCACCCATAGTACAGTGGTTAGGGCACTGGCCACATACACCAAGGGTGGCAGGTTGGAGCTCGGCCTGAGCCAGCTAAACAACAATGACAACTGCAACAAAAAATAGCCAGGTGTTGTGGCAGGTGCCTGTAGTTTCGGCTACTTCGGAGGCTGAGGCAAGAGAATCACTTAAGCCCAAGAGTTTGATGTTTCTGTGAGCTATGATGCCACAGCACTCTACTGAGTGCAACAGAGTGAGACTTTGTCTCAATAAAATAAAAGAAAATAAAATAAAAAATGTTTTGATACTTCAGTTGGTTTTAGATGGTTCTAAATAATTCTTTTTAAACATTTTTTTTTGTTCTAAATAATTCTTTAGTCACTTGCGACTGTTCTTATTTTTTAGAAACGAAGAGGTCTAATTTTTGTATTTGCAATTTTGTGTACATATTTATATAACCATCACAGAGATACAGTCACCCAAATATATAGGAACTGCATGTTTTTATGGTACCACAGACGATAATGTTATTGGTATGTGAATTCAAAGTCATTTTCCTGTATAAGTGAGAAAGAAACCCAAATCATGATTTTTCCTGTGGTTATGATTTCTTTCTGACCATTACGCTCATCAACATATTGTTATCTGGGTAGTGAAATTTTGAAGAAAAGAACAAAAGACAGAAGAATAGAAAATATTCAGCAACAAAGAGAGAGGAAATTGTGTTCAACTACACTGAAATACTCAAATTACGGTTAAACTGATGGCCTGCCCGATATTGTAGGCTGATTGCTCCCTCCCAGGGGGATTATAAACAAAGATTTACTATCAAAATATTTTTTATTTGTCTGAAAACTAATTTGCCAAGCCTGGAGATCAGACGTGTGGAGCAGATGGGAAAAGCAACCTGTTTCTCTGTCTTTAAGCTGCAAAGAAACCTGGAGCAAGTGAAATGGAAATGTCACTTGAGCCTGGAAGCTTCGTAAATATCAGGAAAGAAGACAGTACCCATCTCGCAGCCCATAGCTCACTAAATCCCTCTGTCTTCCAGCAGGTATTAAACATTAATGACCGTTTCTATAATAAGGGCCAAGGACGGCTCTTTGCTGTAGAGCTGCCCAATCACGTGGGTTGTGTTGGATTTTCAACAGCAGCACGTTTTGCCGTTTTTTTTTCCCTGTTCCTTTTATCACGGCCAGAATCTTCAGCCTGAAGGTAATGAAGTGCTTCCTCTATCACTCTGTATCATTTGAAATATTTATCTGATTATGTGAATAAAGAATTACTGCAATAGTAGTAACTCTATCCCTGTGTGTACTCAGACTTCAAAAGGAAAAAGGAAGTTTAATGAATGAAATAAGACAAAGACATCTGTCAATTAATTTTGCAAGTAATAGAAAATGTCACGGGAAGCTGCAGCTTGTTTACACAATGCCAAGCATTGGACCAAACCCCAAGCAACACTTGGCCTCTGGAGTGATACATTGGACATCAGTACATTTGAAACGCTTTAATTTTTTTACATATATTTGAGCCTTTCTGAATACGTTCTTGCCACCTTGTTGGTTCAAAGTGGATTCTGGTGCACAGCCATGCCTGAGTACAGGTGCCTTCCAATCTTCACTTGCCTGGCTGTGGGGAGTTTAGTGTTTTTCAGAGAATCCCTCGTGGTGTACATTTTGGAGTAGACACATGTAGCATCATGAATCCATAAATGAGTTCATTGTCATACAAGGTCACTCTGAGACTTAGCTCCCTTAAGACCCAAGAGCTATAAGAGCTACACTAATTACATCCCCCACCAACAGTGTACAAGGAGCCTCTGTGCCCCACATCCTGGCCAATACTTATATCTTTTGTAGTAGTAGTCATTGCTTTAGTACTCATTCTGACAGGTGTGAGATGATAGATCATTGCAGTTTTAATTTGCATTTCCCTAAAGATTAATGATGTTGAGCACTTGTTTCATGCATTTATTGGTCATTTGTATGTTTTCTTTTGATAAATACCTATCCAGGTCTTTTGCCCACTTTTGTTCTTGCTATTGAGTTGTTTGAGTTTTTATATATTTTTGATATTAACTCTTTATTGAATATATGACTTGCTAATATTTTCTCCCAATGTTGCTCTTCATACTGTTCATCATATTCTTTGCTGTGCAGAAGCATCTCAAATGGAGTCATCCCATTTCTCTATTATTTTTGGCTTGCCATTGGTGCTTGTGGGGTCAGCTCCTCCCAAATCATTGCCCAGACCAATTTTGTGCAATTTTTCTTCCACATATTTCCCCCCATGCCAGGCGGGTAACGTGTTGACATAACAAGGTGTGTGGGAGGCACATCTCACACAGGTGCGTGAAAACCCATCAGGATGATGATGAACTTCAAAAGGATCTTTCCACCATGTTTTTCTGGTGTCTTCCTAAAACTTTGTAGGATGACAGCTATTAAATACAGAAACCAGAAATCAAACTCAGGTCATAGTAACACCAAATCTCTTACCAGGTATGTCATAATCTATTACCTTGATAGCTCTTGTGGATTAAGTAAGATGTGATATGAAGATCTTAGCTTAGTTATAAGATCTTTGTTAGTTCTTAGTATCTGACAAAATTTTTCCACAATTTAGTAATAATTATTAATTATTATTTCAGCTTCACATTGTAATTACAAGGTAATTGCTAGAAGTTGTTTTATTTTAATACAAATTACATTTGTTAGTAGAATTCTGTGGGAAGTGTCAGCTTTTCTATTTCTTATTTTTGGTATTTCTAGGATTGCTAGAAGAGGAAAGAGAGTGGTTAATTACCTGGGGGACTTATGTAGAACTACTATAACACTATTGCTACATTGTTGGTAAACTAAGTTGTTATCTTCATTGTGATCACTTTGATGAGATGGTTGTCTTAGTAGGGCCCTGAGGGGAAAGGATGAGGTGGCTTTTGTGATAGGGGAGAAAAAGAGATACAGACCAAGTGAGGTCTTGGGATAGTCGCACATGCTCCTAGCAATTGGGCCAAGCTGGAAATTGCTTTCCTGGGAGGCAGGAAAAAGGGGAATATGGCTCCTGTTCAAAAACGATTGCTTGGCTAACTATGAATGTTAAGGGCAGTTAACCAAGAAAGGGGAAAACAAGGCAGGGCGTGATCTCGAATTAGAGAATAATTTTCATTTTGTCGTGTGGAAACTGAGTGTCAACCTTTTAGAGCAGGGAGGAGCAGAGGGATGACTTCTCAGACTGTGCCTTTGGTCATAAGCCACAAGGAGATTTAAACCAATGTAATAAAAGGTATGGAGAGGTCGTACAACATTATGAATGTAACACCATTGAATGTAACACTGACAAACGGCTAAAATGAGAAATTTTGTTACATAATATTTGAAATATATATTTTAAAGTTGAATTTTTAAAAAATTTTAAAAATAATGTAATATACCAAAAGCCATAAACTGTATGCTGTAAATGAATGACTTGTATGGCATATGAATTATATTTCAATATGCTGTTTTAAGAAAAGCAAACATTTTGTTGCTCTGATTAGTGGGTGAGCTTTCCCTTCTCTGAAGGGTGTGTCACGTAGACTTCCCAGAACACAGTGAGAATTTGATATAATGGGAACCACATATATATGTATTTATACAGGGTGGCCATAAAGCTCATATGCGATTTAAAATAGACAACTATATATTTGTGCATATATATCTGTATGTATAGTTGAAACAGAGTTTTATTCTGTTGCTGTGGTGTCATCATAGCTCACAGCAACCTCAAATTTCTGTGTTCAAACCATTCTACCTCAGCCTCCAGGGCTGAGGACTGGGACTATAGGTGCTCACCAAAAGGCCCAGCTAATTTTTCTATTTTTAAGAGAGACAGAGTCTCACTCTTGCTTAGGTTGGTTTCAAACTCCTGAACTCAAGAGATCCACCTGCCTTGGCCTCCCAGAGTTCTAGGGTTATAGGCATGAACCACCACGCCCAGCCTGGGACCCACATGAATCTTAAGGATGTAGGTGGCTCTGTAAACAGAGATGAATATGTTAAGTCTGGCATTTGGGATAATATAATCCGTTGAATGAAGGAAAGTACTTGACTGAAATACAGGACTCCTGTGTTTATCTTGAGGTTCTCATTTTCTTATTCCTCAGTTGCCAACTGTAGTGTGTTGCTTTGTGCTCAGCCTAACAAAGCTGTGCTCATAAACTCTCCTCTGTACAGAAGCTGACAGTATCAGACAATAGACGTTTGCTAATTAATATTTAATGGGCCTATGGATTTTTCCTCAGCAGCTGGAGTGCTAAATAATAGTCAATTAACAAATGTGTTAATTAACTCTAATTACATACCACATGAGCTTCTCTGAGGATTTTGCTTTATAGATTTACAAGTGAAGCTCCACCACTTTTCTTGAACACACTAGGCAGCTAATTAATTGATAAATAATAATTCATTCTTCTGTCCAAACACCAATTTAAAAATCCAGTGTAATGCTTGATGGCTTTTAAAAATGATGTTTAAGAGTATAAGATGAATCTGATGTCTTACTTTTTAAATGAGTTTGTCTTAATCACCAAGAGTTTTCCATTCATATGTGAATGAGAGAGGAGCAAGCATGATGAGTTTTGTGAACATGTGTGTGTGAAAAAAGAAAGAAAGAAAAGAAGGAAGAAAGAAGAAAGAAAAGAAGAAGGAAGAAGGGAAGAAAAGAAGAGATTTAGGAAAGAAAGAAATAGATAAGAAAGAGAGAAGAGAAAGAGAGGATAAAAAATGAGGGAGGAAGAGAGTGAGAACAGGAAGGAAGGAAGAAAGAAAAATCAACTGGAAAGCATAAAGGAGGCTGGTTCCTTGTGAGGAGTCAGGATATGCCAAGTTTGACTTGCAGTACGCAAAATTATGAACTTCAGGAGCAAGGGCGATCAATATGTACCGTGCAATTAACAGCACTCTTCTAAGCTTCATGTGCCAGTTAAAGAAAACGCTTCTGAACATTGTATGGTGCCTGCCACTGGGGACAGAGAATGCTCGGAGGAAAGAAATTAGCATAGCAGCTTTGCACATGGCCTGGCATGAGCTGTTAGATCAAAGGCTGTGTGTGGCAGCAGCCTGCTCCAGGGGAGCCAGCCGCCCTGCCACCATTTCAGTGCCGGAGGACGCTGCTCAAGGCATTGCTGAGACACCCTCCAAGGGGACACTGTGGCAACAAAGTTGACATTTACAAATAAGATCATGGGCATAGAATTAGCTCAAATGGGCTGCTCAGTTGAATTCTATATCACTAAATTTACATTAACTCTCAATTCATCGCTGCTAGCCTCTGCTAAGACCCTTACATATTGGTTAGCTACAAAGAATGTTTAGCAAAAAAGAATAATAAAATTGAACCTGCAGATTGGACTCGTTTGATCACTTCAGTACAACCCAAAGGAGCTACCAGCTCTGAACAAAAACATTATGCTTTTTAAATAATCTCTCATCTGGCAAAGAATTAGCAAGTCTATAATTTTCTTTAAGAACACTCTAAAAAAACAGACCAGTGCAGCATTGTGAAGGGATAGACTAAAAAAAAAAAAATGGCAAGTTTTCTTTACCTGTCTGTTGCATTTTCTTATTGAGATACAATGTCAGGCTGACTCCACTTATCCTTTGCAAGCTTTAGAGGAAGTGGGTGCCTCAGAAGAAAGTGCATCTGTTCTTGTGAATTAGCTCCACTCTCTTTAGTAGAAAATGTATTTGTATTTGATAACAGAGACAGTGTCTCCAGGGTTTCGCTTCGTGGAGTGTAGTTGAGAGCCACATTTATAGAAGGCCTTCAGGAAGCCTTGAGGGCACGGATGGTGGTGCTGATACCAGGGCTGGGACATGATCTGGGAGAGTCAGGCAAAGTAGAAAAGGAAGGACTGGGTGACACTGTGGGTGAGTGACGAGCTGTCATAAAGCTTGAGGTGTCTTGTATCGAAACTTCATACCTCACGTGATGAGAGACCAGCCTTCTTCTCTCCTCCAGCCACTGCTGTGACAACTGGCTGCAACTGGCTCCAGCTGCACAGTTCCCAGTCTGTTAACTCCTGGCACTCCTGCAGGGCCCAGGCAGCCGTTTTGAAGCCTGCACAAACCTGGGAGTGCACAGCCCCAGAGAGCACCTTCTCTGTTGGGTCCAAGTGGGGATTGAGGTTTGGTTGGCCACAGTGGCAATCATCTGGAAACACACTCCTGCTTTGGCTTTCCTGCCAGGCTATTGATGCTCCCCGAGGCCTCCAGCCTGTCCTCTGGGATGGCCACCTGCACTCAAGCTCTTGTCTCAAGTGGGCCACTTGGAGGGAACCTAGGCTATAGCAACTCTAGTCCAGAAGTGAAATTGAAGCCATAACTGAAAACCCAGATAGGAGTGAAGAGCAGGGAACATACATTTCTAAGACCATAAGAAAAGACAGGGATTCAGAAACCAGCTGAGCAGTACATGCAGTGGAGCCCCAGGGAGCAAAGGAATCTAGATTCCTACTCTGGTCTTAGGGGTCCTTTCAACCTCTGAGCTACAGAGTTTGCAGTGGTCGCCTGGGTGGAGGCAAAGCCTGGGGCTGAAAAATTACTGAGAGACACTATTTAGTCTACATGCCTGGCGGAGTCTTCTCCTTGCTAAAGAAGAGGAAAATAAGATGTTTATTCAAGGAAGTTCAACTTGAGTGGGAAACGTACTTGGGAATGTCATCCTTTGCTGCTGCTGCTTCCTTCTCTCTGCACAGGTGTAAACCCTACCCAGGTGGAGATGCAAGAATGTGACTTTTATTGTAATAAAACAAATAACAATGGTCCTGCACTAGTTTTCTGTTGCTACTATAATAAGTTTTCATAAAGTTAGTGGCTTAAAATAACATGAATTAATTATTTTATACTTCTGGAGGTTAGAAGTCTCACATGGGTCTCACCAGACTAAAATTAAAGTGCTGAGAGGATTATATTCCTATTTGAAGGCTCTGGGGAAAAGTCCATTTTCTTTCTTTTTTTTAGCTTAAGGGCTTCCTGCATTCCTTAGCTTGTGTTCGCATCCTCCGTCTTCAAAGCCAGCAAGGGTGGAGGCTGAGCCCTCACATTCCATTACTCTACTGCTTTCTGCTTCCGCTGTTAAGCTTGCTTGTGATTGTGGTGGGATCACCTGGATAATCAAGGATGATCTTCCTGTCTTCACGTCAGCTGATTAGTAACTTTAATTCTCTCTTCTACCTTAATTACCTTTTGCATTGTAACATAACACATTCCCAGGTTCTGGGGATTATGGACATCTTTGAAGGGGTCATGATTCTGCCTCCTGCAAGTATTTTCCAAAATCTGATTTAGAGACTGAAAATTTCTTTACCTACTAAGTCCCCAGTCTGACACAGAGTCTGACTCCTCCTTCA